AGCACCCCTCTTCCCACTCACGAGTGGGGTCTGTCCTAAGTGGGGGAAGCAGGAGGGGACAGGAGCCCGCTCCTCCCTGCCTCTTAACTTTGCATTTTTGTTTGAAAAAAAAACTTAAAGCAAAAAAAAACCCACAACCAACCCCCACCAATCCCAAATCCGCCCTCCCCAACCTGCCACACCAGAAACCAACCCCAGGCCCTTGGCTTGGGATTTTAGCCTGGAAGGCTCCATTGTAATAAATGGTATTTTAAAAGCCCGGCGTGGTCCCTGTGTGTTTGGGAGGAAGCAGCTGGACATGGGGCGGCCTCATGCCCTGTTTGGGGTGACACCAGCACCCCCCCACCAGCGCTCCCGGGATGGACAGGGACAGCGGAGAGGCGTTGCAGGATCCAGCCCTCAGAACACCCTTGGACAAAGAGAGGTGACTTCCCACCGGACTGACCCTGCGTGTCCCACCTGTGTCCTTGTAGGTGTGCAAGTCCAGCGAGGCGGCAGAAGGCAGCGTGGCCCCAGGGCTGCCGGACAGGGGGGCAGGAGGGACCCCCAACCTCCGCTCGCCCTCCCCAGCCGGGAAAGGGGAAGCTCCTTTGAGCCCATCCCTGGCAGAGGCGGCTGCTGGAGGGATGCTCTGTGGTGTCCCCTCCGCATTGTTCTCCCCTGGCCTCGGTAGAGCACCTTGGATCACTCATTCCACATGCTCATCCTCAACCACGGATGCTGGAGCAAGGCTGCAGCTCCCGGGAGCTCACGCTCCGCGTTTCCACCCTTTGCAGCACCAGCGAGCAGGTAGGACAAGTTTCTTTCCCTTTTGGATCTGGTCGCTCGCTGCTGCTTCCGAATCCCGTTCGCCTTCCCCGGGGCCAGGACCCCAGCCCCTGCATCCCAGCACCACATCCCGCATGTGCCTGGCTCTGCAGGAGCTCCCTGCCCGCGTCTGCATGCGGAAGGCACGCGGGGGCTGCCTGGGACAGGATCACCCCCCGGGCATGAAGCCTCCTGGCAGGTCCCCGAAAGCTCCCGCTTTTCACACTCGTGCCCCAGAGCTGCATTTTGGATAAACCCAACCGCCCCGCCAAGGTCGGGGGCAGCTCAAGGGAGACTTTTGGGGACGAGCAGAGCCCCTTTCTCACTAAGCGCTGCATGGATTAGCAACATGGCTATTGCAACAGAGCCCTGGCTCCGTGGGGCCAGAGCAGGGAGCACCACG